TTCTTATTCAAGGCTTTTCCTCAAACTTTATTTTTTAGAGCTCTGTTGCTCGTGGTGTTTTACTTTTGTTTATCTGGTAGAATGTGTCAATCCTTTTCTAAGCACTAGTTGTTCGTGAATGATGTAACGTTTGTTGACATTTTTTTGCGTTTTGGAAAATGACATTATCTAGGCGGTTTTTAACCGTTCTTTGCACTATTGTAGCTGGTGTATGATGTCGGTCAACTGCGTGAGGGAACAAGTTTTACCCAAACAAAAACAAATGAAAGCCGCAAGTGTACAACTAATCAGTTGTAGTATTTAGGGATCGAATCCACAGAGATTTGTGTGCCTAGTATTCTTCTACGGTTTCTAACTTTATGTCTAGACTAGATTGGTTTTAAAGGTTGGTTGTTTATCACGAATTAAACTAAAACAAAAGAAAGCAAATAAATTTATCCTAAAGAACAAGTAGAATAATCAAATATAAAGCAAGTAAAGCAAGCAAAATATCGAACTGAAACAATTGAAATACGGATCTAAATAAGCAAGTAAAAATCGATTGGTTTGTAAACTATGGCTAAAAACGCTGAGCTTTTGGGAACTCTAAGGGATCATAATCGGTTTTGACATTAGGGTAGATAGATCGGGATTGACGGATATCGATATATAGGGTTCTAGAGCTAGAGTACGGCGGTATGACTACGTCACTGTCGTGATCATAACCAACTGTTTCTCGCAACCCTGACCAGTAGGTTTCCACTCTGGCCCTGGAAGGGAGAGAATGCAAGAGCTGCACAAGACTCGTCAATACTCACGATCTCGCCGCAGGTAGGTTTCCACTCCTACAAAAATCGCCTGTTTCATTCTAGGGCTGATACTTAATGAAAATTTTCGCAACACTAACTATCTAGATCATATACTAGGTGATCAATCAAGCATACATGCAATATGAACAAGAATAAACAGAGAACAAAGTTGAAATCCCAGATCTATAAACCTAGATGTCTTAATCGATTATGAGAGCCCCTTTCGGGAACCCTAAGCCCAACTCGGGATCTACTCAGACATGACTGAGGTCGACATCATCATTGGTTTTAATAAAAGTAATCAAAAATAGTAAAGAAAAGAGATGAAGAAAGCTTCTCTATTGAAGAACTCGGACTTGAACAATCTTCTATAAAAATCGCATAAAACGGGCTAAAGGAAAAAGGGTTTCTGTAAAGTATGAAGGGTGGTGTCTAAAAACGACCTAAATGACAAGTATTTATAGTCTTCAATACTCCATGGTCTCTAGGGTTCCGGAATTGAGGCTGAGAATGACTTTGGGCTTCAGAGATATGGGCTTTATTTATGAGTTTGACGGCCGCGGTCGGGAGTGACGTGACCGCGGGGAATAGGTGGTTGGCCGCGGTAGGGAGGCTTGTGACCGCGGGAAATGGGCTATTGGCCGCGGTCGCGTGACTTGTTGACCATCTTCGAGTGGCTCCGGGGCTAATGGAATATCTTGAGATCCAACCGTTGGAATGTCTCCAAACCAAGTGCATTTGAAAGCTGGTTGATTCTTCTATAAGTTGTCCCATTTTGAGGGTGATCAGACGGTGAGAAGGTCTTCTTCTCTCCATGAGAGTTCTGACGGTCTGCATTTATCCAAAAGAGTCTTTTTGTTCCAATTTGTGCCTCTTTATCCCAAATTACCTGAAAAGTCTTTTAAAATCCGAAAACATAGAAATCCTTTGACAACCTTTGGAAATAGAGTAAAAACACCTGTAAAAGATATTAAAGTGATCCATAAAAATGGTCAAAATCCGGTGTTATCAGTGTATAACCATATATTGCGCATATTGCATTTTGCAGTTTGCTTAATTCTGGGATCATGTCCTTTGTTCGGTGATGTATATTACTCTTTAAGTTAGTTACAGTAGCAACTACATTACTTTTTAGTGCTATTCCCTTAGGTTAGCTGTTGTATTTATTGCAGTCATACCAGTGATTTTAGTCGTGGTTGCCGCTTGTCGCGAGGGTTTTTCCTCTTAGTCGTTCATTTGATTTTTGAGGAGATTTTGGAACTCCTTTATTCTTTAGTGACAGTAGTCACTTTTAGTTTTTTGAGGTAATGCCTCTGAATTATATTAAGGTAACAGTGTCACTCTCTTTTTTTGGTGTGAGGAGTTGCCTCTTTTGAAGGTGCAACGTCACTCTCTCTTCTTCGTTTATATGAGGAATCACCTCTTTCGAAGGTGATAATGTCATTTCTTTTCTTTGTTTATGTGAGGAATCGCCTCTTTCGAAGATGACAATGTCATTCTCTTTTCTTTGTTTATGTGAGGAATCGCCTCTTTCGAAGGTGACAACGTCACTCTTTTTGTGTGTGAGGAATCGCCTCTTGCACCCTCTATGGGTTGTTATCAATATTTTTTGAAGGATTTACCTTTTTTCATGACCATTGTCAGTTTGTATGCGTGCAGTGACGCTCTTAAATGGTTAAGTAGGCAAAAATCGTCACTCTCTTTAAGGCAGTGCCTTCTAGTTTATTTGAGTGATGTCTGTCACTCGTCATAATTTATATCAAAGATCTCTCTCTTTTATGTGCCATCGTGAATGACGAACATAGATTTGAGGACTTCTAAAACTTTTTTGTTTAAAAATTTCTTTATTGAAGTGTATGTCCGTAGATATGATATAAAATATCCAAAGCCAAAGGTAATGGGGTCTCGGAGATCATCAAAAAATGCAAAAAGCAACTAACGATGATATGCCAAAGGTATATAAAAAATATAACTGACGCAAAACGAACCAACCCGGAAGTAGTAGGTTGAGATGTAGGGCGCACAGCTGTTTAATAGATTTTTGCATTCTTTATCCTGCAGTTTGTACGCGTCTGATCCACATACCTCTGTTATTTTATATGGACCTTCCCAAAAGTCTATGTCGTAAATATTTTGGCAGCTTTGAACTAAAATTCACTTTCTTATTAGGAACGTCTTCTATTAGTTGAACCTCGTCGAGTTGCTCAATATCTGGTTCTTCCATTAGTTGAACCTCGTCGAGTTGCTCAATATATGGTTCTTCCATTGTGTTGATTGGTCGATGTGTACTTTGTTTTCGCTTCTCCTGCTTTCATTGTCACTGTGAGGTCTTTGATATGGCTTATCATCTCTCGTCGTTCTTTCATTCCTCGTTACATGCGAGTCAGAACGGTGGGAGTGTTGCTGATGGTAGGCAGGATCTTCCTCCCACCTAATCATTGCCCATGCTCTAGATAGCACGTCTTCCATTGTTTTGCATTGGTACTTTGTCAGTTCCTTATATAGATCACCATTTTGGAGCAAGCCTCTTTTGAATGCTGAGATTGCAGTGGACGTGACACACTCTGGTATAGATGCAGTGGACGTGACACACTCTGGTATAGACACCTTTTCCTTGTTGAATCGTCCTACATAACTACGTAAAGACTCACCTCTCTTCTGTATGACCTCGTATAGATCGTCAGCAGTCCTTTCCAAGTTCCTACTGCTTGCAAATTTCTAACGAAACTGTCTGTCAGTGATGCAAAAGAGTCAATTGAAGCATTTGCTAGGTTTGTAAACCATTGGAAGGCTGGTCCTGTAAGACTCGTACCGAATCTTTTACACATGGTAGCTTCGTGAAGTTCTTTTGCAACTACTGTGGTAAACATTTGTTGTTTGTACTGTGCTATGTGGTTATCTGGGTCTATCGTTCTGTCTTCCTTTTTCATTGAAGGAAGCGTGAACTTCCTTGGCATCTCTGTCAATGCAATCGCGTCTATAAATGGGGTATCTTCCAAACGCTTTGAGAAATCATCTGCAGACCCAATTGTAGTTGTTCCTGGATTTCCATTATGTTGTGCCGGTCTGGTGTTTGTAGCTGTGAGAGGATCGTCATAGGGGGAACGTGAGCTCGAAATCTGGCACGAACGTCGGCTGCAGTGCTTCCATCACTAACCAAAGAAGCGTTCACCTCCTTCAAGGAAGCGTTTTCTGCTTCAAGTTGTGCAAGTTGATCTTCATACTGTTTTATCTTGGTGGTGAGTGCCTCCAGTTGAGTAGCATAAATGTTAGGGTGGTGTTTCCGTCGTTTTCTCCATCGTCATATCTCACGTAGTTAAAACTTTCCCTCTTTCTAGCGCCAAACTGTTCGGGCAAAATTTAACCGGTTTGTATGTGAATAGTTCTACGGAACGACGAGAAAGAGTAAGCTTTTATTAATCAGCGAATATCAAGTTACAATGAATCAATATCGAAGATCTAAATTATCTGGTATCATCTGTCGATTTCTATTCGTTGTTAATTAGCGAAGAACGAAGCTACGATGAGGTCTGGTTGCTCGATTCTCTGTCGCTGTCGTACCTAGCTATTAAAGTAGGGCTTTTAGTATTTTTGCGGTAAGTGATTGTATGTCCGTCCTTGCTCCAAGACTTCTCTATTTATAGGTTTATGTCAATCCTAATCCTTATTGGATTGGGCTTTATACGTCGGTCTCTTCATAATTCTCTTTGAATTAGGAGCTTATGTCGGTCGGTCGCTCCAATTCTTTCTAAATTCTTAGTTTACTTAAGGATGCAAATCAACGAGCTATATTTAACTATTTGTCGATGCTAAACCGATTGATAAAGACGAATGGTCGATGTTATGACTCTCTCACTAATGACCGTTCGTCACTCCCTTTCTCTCAACGAGTACACGATTACAGTGACCTTTCATCACTCCTTTTCTCTCAATAGGTATATAATCACAGTGACCGTTTATCACTCTCTTTTTTCTAAACAGTGACATGACATGATTATCGTGAATTAATTTCACCCAACAGCTTCTAGTTTCAATAATAATAATTATAATATAATTATATCATCACTAACATATTATTTGTCTATTTTGCCACCATTTCTGCCACATCCCAACCTTTAATGTGAGATGCATTTTAAACATTAGTTTAGCATGATGAATTTTTGTTCATGTCCAAATTTTGTAACTAAAATGAAATGAGACAAGATTTTCCTTTCTCAAATTTTATGTAACATTGTAACCGAAATACAACGAGATCAAAATTTCCATTTCTGAATCTGTTCTATTAAAATTTTGTATCGAATCTCCATCCTCCCAACAATACCATTAGAGAAACAATATGACAAGACTAGTAGTTAGTAGCTTGTCCAACGAGTGGCAATTATTGTTGCTTAATCTAAAGTATAGTAACCTAAAATCAACACCTCTTTGCCTGAATGAATCACAGTAAGAATCAGCAGAGCGGATCAGTCCTCCCTGCTTGAGCTAATTTTCTCGCTCGTCTCACTTTCAAGTCATCGAGATAATTCTGGTAAACATAAGAAGCGAAACCCCAAAGAGCGATCAGCATCGACATAATCTTAACACCACTCATCTTATCCCTGAATACAACCAAAGCCGCAAGTGGAGTCACAGCTAGAGAAAGAGTACTAATGACGTTTGAGAAGAGAGACGACACCAGAAATATCAAACCCACCACTCCTACAGAACAAACTTGCCATGTAACCGCTGTACCGACCAGAGTCAGTACATAAGAGGCTTCGCCGTGATGATACCCTTTCATTTCTCCGTGCAGCGTTCTCCATTCCCCGCTAGCGAAAAGCCCAATAACCGAGACACAAGTCGCCACTAAAGAAGTGTAGATTTGCATTTCAAGAACCACTGAAAACGTCTCTCTCTTAAGAATCTTCTCGAATGAGAATTGCATAAGAGAGAGCAATAGAGAATAGAGAGCCGATGCAGCGAGTGTACAGACAAACCCGACGATGTATTTCGAACTGGAGACACCTGAAGGAGCATCTGCATCGTCGTTTAGAGCAATCAAAGCAGCAGAGAAAGAGAGGAGAACAACTGAGTTGAGAATCAAGGCAGTGAACTTCTGAGCATTGATGAAATAAGAGAAGACCGCGTTGAATGCTAATTGGGTAGCGCAAATGAGCGAATAAGTCGATGCAGAGAGGTAGAGAAGTCCAACAGAGTATAACATGTTGTCACCAGCGATGATAACACCGAGCAGAACGTAGATCAAGACAATGGTTTTCAGAGAACAAGGCGGCTCTGAAGAGTCTGAATCAGTCGAAGAAGAAGAAGGTAGGAGTAAAAGGGGGATATAGAGGATGGGAAAAGCAGCGGTTTGAACAAGAGTAGCCATCCATTTACTGTTTCCACCTTCGTCGTAGTAAAATCTACCGAGAAGGACTGAAGCAGCTTGACCACCAATAAGGAAGAAGATGTTTATGGACACAAGAACCCACCATTGCCAGCTTTTGAGCTTCAAGAGTGGAGATGGTATACCTTCCACACTCTCCTCCTTCACCAAGATTGGTTCTTGATTATCTGAAAAACCAATATTATCGGTATAAATGGCTTAACAAATTCGGCTAAACAACCCTATCTAAACCTTTAAGATAAACCCATAACTTCAAAATTTCAACTTTCACATGCAAGATAAATCCTAAGCATAATCCAACACACAGCACAATAATCACCAGATCATAAACCTTAAAAATGATTCAAAATCTCAACTTTTCCGTGGAAGACCCTGAAGCATAATCAGATACAGAACACATATAATTCACAAACTGGGTATGTCGGAAAAACGCAAAAACGATTCCCGAATGTGGAAATAACAAAAATTCAGCCTAAAAACCCTATTTAAAGCTTCAATATAAACCCTCCATAACATCAATTTTTAACCTTTTTTAGTAAAAAAAAAAAATCAAAATTTCAACTTTTTTCTTGCAACAAGAACCCTAATGCATAATCCGACAAAGAAAACAGATAATTCACAAGCTGGGTATGTCGAAATAACCCAAAAATGATTAGAGAATGTGGAAATTGATGATATGATCACACACAGAATCAAAACAGAAAGAAGGAGAAAGGATTTACCTGACATAGAACTCATCTGCAAGAAACAACGTATACAGAGAGATTCAAGAAAAGGGTTTACTAATCCAAACAGATATTTCAATGTCGTTCACGAAGATCCGTGAACTCTCCAAACGAGCTTTCGCTTAGTTGGTGAGAAGAAGCGGCAGCTATTAATAGGGAGATTCGACGCAGACTTTTTAACAAACTTTTTAGTCTTGACTTGTTATAAGCCAATCATTTTTAAACCGTAGAAAACTTGATGCTTCATTTGCCGGTTATGTTATCGTCTTAGAAACGGAACCGGAAAATGCCACTTGCTTTTTATTTTAGACAAGTAAGTCAAGTATTACTCGATAACCACCAAACAAACTATAATTCACCAACTAACTAAAAATATATCATGTATATTCTATATATTAATATTTTTTCACCTTTTTTTTCTTATATTTTCTTTTTTTCCCTCTTTCTCTCTCTTACCACCTTCTCTCTCTTATTCTCTTTATCTTCTTCCACTATATTCTCCAAATGTCTCTTCTGATAATCCCAACTTGTTCACGACTTCTTTTAGAATCTTTGTTATGTAATTGGTTTACTTAAATTGTTGAATTTTAGAATATAGATCTATAAATTGAATTGAATTAAATTAAACTGTAAATGGATCTAAAACTTAGATAAGAAGTGTTAGCTCTTCATAAAACAGTTGAAAAATATTTTGTATAAAAATTCAATTTTAATTAATTATCAGAAATCATGTCACGCTCCACCTTCTTCACCATTGCTACACCTTGTTGTTGTTGATAACCTGTTCTTGCGATTTTCTTCTCCGCCGCAGCCCCTCTCTCCGACTCAATACCACCGGTCCACTACAGTTTCTCTCGCACATGAATTCTCACTAGAAATTAGCCAACGGGAGCCTTCTGCCCACATCAAGAACCATATCAACGAATACCTAGATTTGTATATAATGGCTATTAGTATCGAACGTCTATTTGTATAGAATGTCTAATTTTTGTTTTCAGATACAAATTTATAATAGAAGAGCTTTTTGTCATTGTGATTTTGATGTTTTGCTTGCGTTGTTAACAGACATGCAGAAACTTAGGATCCTTAAAGCAAAGAAGTATAAAATGGTACTAGAAAAAATAGATGTGCTCTGTTATTAACTAATAGATTAGCTATGTATCTGGTTTCTAAATAATAGACATACTAAGTTATATAACGAAAAGACTTTCTATTTATTTGTATCACTATTGACGTATGAAAATTTTTCGGATGGATTTTCAAAATTCAAATCATATTAGACATAAAAAAATATCAGTGTTTTTTTATCCTAATACAAGCTTCAACTATGTCAAAAAAAAAAAAATACAAGCTTCAACTAATTAATAATTTATGAATAATGTAAAAAACAAAATTTATGGGATAGCTATATGTGCAGTAAACAGAAACTGAATAAAAAGTACAATCCAATTAGTTTTTTTCTCTTGCAAAAACGATAAAAGTTCGTGTGGTTGGTGGGAAGGGTTTTCTCGTCAACTTTGTTGGTAAGAAACCAAAAACTTAAATACTCACTTATTGTAGCTATATTCTTAATAACTGTTAGTTTTTTGGTTATACACTTAATTCACCCTTAGAGTAACAACAATACATGAATGGGAGGATTAATGTACTAACCTTAGAAAGTATCTATATAACTTTTTTTGGCGCACTTTTATTTTTTTTACAAAACTAACCTAGCATACCCAAAATACCCTTTTTCCTTTGTTGAAAAAAACCTAATTACGAAAATGCTATTATTTTTTTAATACCATGTAGGCATAATATAGCGCTGAAAATTTGATAAGTCTACCAGGCTTTGACGGTAAACTTATCAAATTTTGGTCAACGCAAAAATTTTGTCGGTAGAGTTATTAGGTCGATGGTAGATTTATTCGAGAGTTGGTAGAGTTTACAAATGTTGGTAGACTTATCTTGGTAGAGTTTTGACGATGAAAGGTAGATTGATTATGTTTTGGTATATTTGTTGTTATGAATGACAGACTTGTCAAACGTGTTGGTAGACTTGTTAAAGAAAGCATTGACTTTGTTGCATAGTTGACTTTATCGGTACATTTATTGACAATGAGGTAGATTTAATTTCTGAGTTGGTAGACTTATGTCCTTTGGCAGTAGACTTATGTGAAAAAAGTTGTCAATACGTGACGGTAGATATATCTGTTTTATGGTAGAGTTATATCTAGTTGGTAGATTTTGCTTTTGTGGTAGATATGTTTGTTTTGTGGTAGATTTAAATTCAAGTAAAATTCCTTCCGGTGAGTGGTAGATTATTTGTTACATGAGGTAGACTTACAAAATGTTGGTAGATTTATTTGTTTTGTGGTAGATATGTTTGTTGTGTGGTAGATTTAAATTGAAATAAAATTCCTTCCGGTAAGTGGTAGATTATTTGTTACATGAAGTAGACTTACAGAATGTTGGTAGATTTTTTTGTTAGTTTGGTAGAGTTTATGTAATTTGGTAGAATTATTGTACGTATGGTAGACTTCTTATAATAGTCATGTGGTAGATTAATTAAGTTTAGTATTTACAAATATAACCTCCATCTGGTAGACATATGAGGTGCTTATGGTAGACTTGTTTCTATGGTAGAGTTATTTTCCATGCTTGAGATATACTTAGTTGTTAATGTTTGGCACACATTTGACTTTTTGGATTGAAATTACTTTTTTGTCCTAAAAGTATTCTTCTATCTACGAAAAAACCAGCAATTTGGTAGACTTGTTTTGGAATGTTGTATGGTAAACAGGTTTCGTACATATG